CAAACCTTTACACATTATAAAGAAGCATCCAATGCAAATTATTTCAGCACCGACGAATGTTCAGGCCTCAGCTGTGCCAACTGTTGAAAAGATGGAGTCTTGCACTTCGGAAATCCCACTTCGACCAGAAGAGGAAAGAATGGACACTGAAGCAGTCGGCGTCCCCGCCTCCCCACCTTCCAAGAATGAGCGTCTTGAGGAGGAGCACCAGTCATTTGCTGCAGTGGTGGAACAAACTGTAGCCACAGAAGCCTCGCCTGTTGTTGAATCTTTGCATATTGTAAAGAAACATCCAATGCAAATTATTCCATCCCCAACAACTGTTCCAGAATCATCGGTGACATCAGGTGAGAAGGTAGAACCTCAAAGGTCCGCAAAACCACTGGAGTCGAATCAAGAGGATGGAGATGCTGTAGTGACTGGTGTTGCAAGCTCTTCATCTCCTCCGGTTGAACACACTGATGACCAGCAACCCTCCACAGTTGAGCCGGAACAAACTGCACAACCACTAACTGAAGGGAAATCGGAAACCGCTGCTGTTGACGTCACAGAATCGTTGCGCATTGTACAAAAGCATCCAATGCACATTATTCCAACACCAACAAATGTTCTGAAGTCAGCAGCGCCACTCACTTCGGAAGAAAAACTGGAGGTGACTCAGACAGCCGAGGCGGTTCCAACTACAACTAAAGAAAAGCAGAATTTAGTAAAAACGGGCGCAAAGTCAACAAAATCTATTGATAAGAAACGTGGTAAGAAAACGCCGATTACAATCCCAACCATTGAAACGACAACCGTGTTGGAGACGGAGCCCAAAACATCGCCACTACCTAATGAGGATACAAAAGCTGAGGCGGAACCGCTGATTAACGTTGAAATGGATATCTCTCCTTCAACAGCCGAGGTTGTCAACTCCGAAAACCTAACCACTGAGCATCAAGAGGCATCTGGGAAGGCGTCACCGAGTTCACTTGATAAGAAACGGAGCAAAACGTCGCCACTGGGGTGTACAAAAAGACAGCGTGAAAAGAGAGTGTCTGGAAGTGAGCCGAAGGAGACTTCATTCCCCACGCCTGAACCCACAGCACAACCGATTAAACAGCATCAACTCTCCGACGTGGAGAAGGCATCAAGTTCACCGGATAGGAAGGAAGGCAATACATCGCCTCTACTACCTGTGGAGGAGAAGGCAATGCTTTCAAGTGTGAATGTGGAT